ATATAGATTTTTTCCATCATTAATGAAGTCATTTTTAGAAAATTTAAAGTTTTCTTACTAGCCCATCTCTTAAAAGTTGTTTTTTTATCGCATTCTCTATTTATTTTTTTGCCATCAACTACATTTATTTCTGCCACCAGTTACACATACTTTTTTATCCTTTTTACGCAATCCAGCCTAATAAATAGACAGCCTGTATAGTAAGCAAACGTAGATAATCCCCGCGCGTAAGTTACGAACATTACGTTAAGGCGGCGCATGCGCCGGAATGCCAAGCGCGCTTGCGGCGGCTCTAGGGCTGCCAACAAGGCGTTACTAGGTTACCAAAGGCCCTGTTGCGAAAAATTGGGGCCCTAACTAAACTGTATAGGTTTATCATCATCATCATCATCATTTTAGCCATAGGACGTCCACTGCTGAACATAAGGCCTCCCCCAATGCTTTCCATGTTGATCGATTGGTAGCGGCCTGCGTCCAGCGCTTCCCTGCTACCTTTACGATGGGTAGGTTGCATGAAGACAATCTCTAAATCTACAATGTACTTATTTAATATTGTAAGCTGAGGGGCAGTAATATTCATCATCATCATCGTCTCAGCCATAGGACGTCCACTGCTGAACATAGGCCTCCCCCAATGATTTCCAGATAGGCCGGCTGATAGCGGCCTGCATCCAGTGCCTTCCTGCTATCTTTATGAAGTCGTCTGTACATCTTACTTATCTTTGTGAAACAGGTTGTGCTTAAATCGTCTCTACATCAATTTGAACTTTGACGTTCTGAAAAAACGGTAAAAAACTTACAAAAATATTTTTCTGAAGCCTGGGTAGAGGATAATGATAAATAATGATAAGACCTATTGGATTCTTTTTTCACTACTTTGCTAAGTCCAATAATATATTTGAAACTTAATGTCATGTAGGCTTAGCTTATATGTATTACTTACGTGCTGTTAAAATTAAATTTACACCACATTTGACATGGCAAAAAAGTATTACTTTTTTAGACATTATTTTATGTGTGCACTTAAAGTATGAGATAAGCAGGTATTCTTTATAAATTTTGCGTGTAGACTACAATATTTTAACATCAATGTATGTGAGAATTAAAAGATTAACTTTGACCTTATTTAAAAGATAAAAAAACAATCATTATGCAAAAGACGTCTTGACATTTAATAAGCTGTACATGTAAACCCTTTACTGCACGTAAAAAAATAAAAGGACAAACAATGTTTATTTCTGTCTAAAAAAAATTTTGAGAGTATTTTTTCTTATTTTTTCCTCAACATCCAAAGTTTCTCTCAAAAAGCAAAGAGGTTTTTATTTTTTTTTTTTTTGTCGTCATATTTTTTCTCCAGCCAGTAATATATTCAGCAGTAACACAAAGTAGGCAACCCTAACACCCAGTAACTGATGAATCCGTCCGTTACCACTTGATTGATTGGCCGGCCGAACAAAACGTCGTTTGAGGTCAGTATAGGTTACTGCCATTTTTATAGCCAGTCAGGTTCAAAGCACTATGTTATGTGATGTTATGCCCGTGACGAGTTCGAGGAAACTGCGGTTCGTTTGTCGAACGAACGTTGGTGAAGTACGATTTGTTGGGAAGTTCTTTACTTTTTTATTTTTAGGTAGGTTTTCTGTGCTAGTAAATTGGCTCCTCAAGATAGGTATTATTTACAAGGTGCATTATATTTATTACATTATCTGAACACACCTATAGGACTGCGAGTCGAAGACAGGTCAAGCTAAATATATTCATCTCAGTACTTATCTACAATATCAATTAAACTAACATTGACTCAAGTTATTGGCAACAAATCATCCTTGATTGGTTACGCAATTTTTACCTGGAAGATCCTGAATGAAAGTCAGATCTAATATCAAATCCTTTCTGATGCATCATACATCACCGAGCCACGACCGAGTTTCTTCCGCCACTTCTTCTCAACACCAACCGATAGGGACATATTATGTTGTCCCGAAGTCGAAGTAGTGATAGAACAAGATACTTAACAATTTGGGGGATCTTTCAAAGTGACCTGAAAAGGGCCTACATTCTAACGTAGAACGTGAATTTGACCTATAAATCATTTACTACGTCAAAAAAGATCTTTCCAAAAGCAATTTGCTTGCTTTTACCACTTCAGACCACCCACGTCGTTCCTAAAATCGCTGATAGCCCAATAAGCATGTTCCCTTTACCGTCCTTCCACCACTCAATAAACCACTCGACTCACACTAACGCCATTTTAACGCGTATCCCCAATCAAAATGGCCGCCACGTCGACAAAATGGCGCCGAACGCGTCCTCGCATATTAATGTGTAGGATTGTTCATAGCTCGAGTCTTGCATTTTAATGAGGTGATAGCACATTTCTTCGGAACGAAAGATTTTTTCCCATGATGTCATAGGAAGCGCTTATGGGCGCTTTATTAATATTGATGTATGAATTTTACTGTGCGGTAGCTTTGTTGGATCGGAAGTAGGAGTTACGACTTTATTATTAACTTTTATTACTTGATGGATTAAGTGTTTATTGACTACTGTATCTTGTTTACTTTTATCTTTATTTAGCTAAAGACGACACTTTGACTAATTCATTTATAAACAATTTATGGAAATTTATGGACATCTGTATAATGTCTACTTTAACGTTTATTACTTATATACTAGCTTTCCGCCCGCGGCTTCGCCCGCGTGGAATTTTGTCTGTCACAGAAAAACTTTATCGCGCGCGTCCCTGTTTCAAAAACCGGGATAAAAACTATCCTATGTTCTTTCCCGGGACTCAAACTATCTCTATGCCAAATTTCATCAAAATCGGTTGCGAGGTTTAAGCGGGAAAGCGTAACAGACAGACAGACAGACAGACAGACAGACAGACAGACAGACAGACAGACAGACAGAGTTACTTTCGCATTTATAATATTAGTTGGGATTTGGATCTAAAAGCGAGACTTTGACTAAGTGTTTGACGGCGGACACACCTATCGATTCACCCTGACTTTTTGAAAGGAATTAGCAAATTAACTCATCAGCAAAATTCGGGGTCAAGTCAAAACAGAAGTGAAACCAGTAGGTATGCAATAATATTTTTATTTGAACTAAATCCTTTGGAATTGGATCATTTAGGTACCTACTTCATTAAACAAGCTCGTGAAGACCGCTGGGGCAAAAAAGTTCTTGAATGGTGACCACAGGCCATAAGGGCTTGTTCCCAAGGCAATCCAGTAATACAGAATCCCGGAAAACTGGATTGTCATTTGAACACATAAATGTCAAATCTCATAAGTTATTTAAATTCGAACTACAAATTTGGATGGATCGGTTTTTTGCGGGATCCTCCAAACGGGATGTTCACAACGTATACTAGTAAAAGGGAGCCTGCAAAAAACAGTTCTTGCAAAAATAGGATAATATCTCCGTTTGAACAAGAAATAAGACGTAATGTAGACCTTACACTTGGTGGTCCGACGATGTAATGAAGGTCGCGGGAAGCGCAGGAGCGGTCGTTGTAGAAATCCTTGGGGGAGGCCTTTGTCCAGCAGTGGACGTCCTTTGGTTGCTATATTAAACGACTATAAACTTCTGTGCGTTTCTTAGCAAGACTGCATTAGAAGATTAACTATTATTGTAATTTATAAGCCCATTCAAGCGCAGGCGCAGCGTGTCGCCTCACAAAAGAAGTGTTAGCGTCAACGTAAATAAATGCTGTATTCTAGGAAACTTTGTATTTAGAGACGTTTCTCAAAGCTACTGATGAGAATGGATTGTTATTAAATCAAGGTTTTAATATACGAGTGTTTAAATTGTTTGTTAGATGTAGAGGATAATCTTGGGAAATATTGTTCCGACTCAAAGAGTAATATAAACCTAAAGTACAAAGCTACAATTTTGCAATATCTACCTAGGTTCATTTCATACAGAAGATGGAAAAAATGGGAATCAAAAAACTCTTTTTCAAGCAAAAGCCTCCCGTCTGGCCAGCGTGGGGAGTGTAGGCCAAATCCTCCATTTGCCTTTGGATAATAATTAGAGAGAGTCTTGCTCCTGCAGTGGAGGCTAAATGAACCGATGATAAAATAAAATTATTTACATAACGAGTATATGAGTTTTCTTATATAAGATTCCCCATTATTTTTTCCACCCTGTATTACACTCCAATTAGGTATTTATCCCCACTTACACCAAAATTTATATATTTTTTTAAGCAATTGCAGTAATCATAAACGTATAAAACAGTCGTTAATATTTTTATACTAGTATGATTTAAATCGATTTGTCTGTCTGCAAACCAGATAGTTAGCTGTGAGTCACCCATAGTGCTTAAGCACTTAACTACTCATTTTACATTAATAATTTCGCTCAACCTATGCTTTCCCCCCTCAATTGTCCTTGCAAAAGTCTTTACGTAACTTGAAAGACAATTTCAACTTTAAATCCTGTACATTAGAGCTTAATTCAAGCTTTTTTACTTCAAGTTCTATAAATTCTAGCAACAATGAATTTTGAATTTTATGCGCTAAGATATAAGGTGGATTTTCATATGGTGTGAAAAAGATAATATAGGGTGTCTGCCGAAGCGAATCGTCATTTTATAATACGAAATGAACATATGAGTGATTGAAATAATGCAGCCCAGGTCGATACACTCGTGTATGCCGTCATTTTTACACTTTACGCGACTTCATGCATGGTGTAGCATGGTTTTAAATAAGATATTGTTACTGCGGTCTGTGGCATTTTGCACTTATTTTTTTTTTACATTGGAGAAAATGGTATAAAGTATACACTTTGTGTAACTTTTTGGTACTGAAAATTCGATAACTGTAAGCTCTATGAAATAACAATTGAAAGATGTAAGCTCTATGACATCAAGACTGAGTTGCACCACCTAACTTTAGCCGGAACTACAACGATAACCGGTGTTTTCTAGTATGAAGTTTGATAGATTTTTGACGTGTTTCTTTTCTAATAAGAGTTGTTTTTGTTCACAGATTCCTCACATGCTACGAAGTAATTAAAAGGTATGTAGCTTTTCTTAATTATTATATATTATTTTGTATGCCTATATTTCTTATTGTGCGCGGTTTAGATTTACCTAGTGGATTGTCTCTCACGAGAATCAAACCCGCAATGACTTGCATTTGCAGTGCGGTATACAAACCACCAATCACCAACTGTCGAACAAGGATTCAATATTTTTATTATTCCTATCAAGGAGTCAATATTCTCAATATTGTCCTCACGAACCAGTCCAATTTAGCAGTTTTTAACTGTACTCATACGTTTTTGCTCGAAACCAGACGATTCAGGATGGCAGCTGGTTTTGCCCGTATCGCGCCTATTTAGGCGTCGGCTGGTTTACCGCTAAGCGGGCGATCGCCACAGACTTGCGATTTGTCGGGCGTGAGTCCCCTAGACAAGTAGCAAAAGTTGCAGTTTTAATTTCGAAATCCATTCGCACCGGGTTTTTTCATCCCCTTAGACAATAAAGGGAGCAAATTAATTCTATAGTTTTGACATCGTTCGATCGTTCATCTAACCCTGGGTTGCCTGGAAAAGATAGTCCTAGCGATAAGACCGCCTGAATTGTGCCATTTTGATTCGGTATTTCTTTTGTGTCTGTTTTGTGTGGAGTACTTACAATAAAGAATACTCTATCTTTCGTTGTATGTTATCATCTAATTAGTGCTTATTAGGCGATAGTATTTTTTGTCGCCACAGTATTGCGATTTATCGCAGGACACGTGACAATAATAATCCGCGCATAATTTTTACATATTCATAGATGTTTTCATCTCAGAATTTCAGTAAATATAACATTTTTATCTTTTTTTTCTGTTTTTATCGGGAATCGAGCCCATAAATTTAACACAGTAAGAACCTAACTATTGAAAAAGACATTTAGGTATGTGTAATATTATTAATTAACAACAAAACAAAGATGCAAGCAAAAAGAATAATCAAAACACCACTGATTAATAAAGACTAAATATTTTGTTATAATTATAATATTAAAAATTGTGCGTAATCAATCAAAAGGCTTATTAGCAAAATAAACTAGGTACCTACTTAATGAGAATACATAATTGGGTGACTGGAAGAAACCGCCTTGGGCTCTAAGACCAAAGTATTTGTGCAACTTTTACATTATATTTTAAAATGGCAGAGCTTATTAACTATACAAACTATTAGTCAAATCATAAATTATGTGTACTAACAAAGCAAATACATATTACTTAATATGAATTTTATCGATAATATATTTTACTCGTACTGCATTAAAACACATTGTTTACATTGTCATGTTTAGATTTACCTTCCAGAACAAATAAGTATATTAAAATATCGAAATGATATTTTTACAATATTTATTAATTACATATTACTGAACCAGTTTCTAAAAAGACAGCACAATAATTAATAACTTTATAATGATTCAGTTTCCAATTTCTCAGGCACGATATTTTTCTCGGATATAATAAGAAGATAAGTAGTAGTAATTAATTAGTAGTTAATAAACAAAACTTCAAGCTTGAAAATATCCATTCTCAGGATCAAAATCTAATCTATTATTAAAGCTTTTGAAGTCAGCTTCGACTATTACGATAAGAGAAGCAAAACTATCGACATTTTCGTCCGTATTCACAAACGATGCTTGCTTAAGTGAAGCAGCATATCAAACGCACAGCTATGGCACAGTAATTGGTTCAATTTTTTTTTCAATTTCAAAATATCTTTATTTCATAAAATAATATTACAATACAGTTCTAGTGTCCATTTTAATCCTAGGCTGTTATAAAAAATAACTTTCAACTGTTTTTAAGCTAATTTTCTTGTTAAAAACTTATAAAATATACATTTTATCTGTATTTACGAATTGTAAACTAAAATTTATATTATATATTCGTGTGTGACCCTGTGCGTCCACACGCACTGTGAGACCTCATAGTAATGTTTGTGAATACGGGCGTTAATTTCCAATCACTCTATCATCTTAATAACAAAATACACAGTAGATAATCATTTAAATAGACTGCATAAATTAATGTTATTTCTTTAAAATACACTGGAGTAAGATAAATACATTAAGATAATGACTGAATAAAATATCTACTTGTCATACTACAACTATACTATTTGTCTTGTAAGAAATCACCTATAACTTCTGAGTATTCATTACAACGATCAGCTGATTGCACAGGTATCTAAAATAGGCAATAAAAATGGCGTCTGTAGTTATTTTTAATCTGTGATTAATAGCTTAATACTTTTCTTTTTGCCTTAGGATCTTGATTAAGTTACTGCCTGTATAAAACTATTTATAGGGTAATAATAAAGGGAACACCTTGATAGATTAGTGGTTTAAGTGCATTCCAAGGGACCTACGTTCGAGTCTGGTCCAATAAAATTTTAATGTTCCTAATCAATTTTATTGGGGGTCGGCCATTTTGCGTCAATTTTCTTAAACACATTTTCTAGCATGTTTTTGTTTTGCCTTTACAATCGTAAGAAACACCTAAATTCTTCACAGAGCGAAAAAGGGAAGCATTTTTGGTTATAATGGAATAATAATAAATGTATTAACTTGCGGAATCACCTTCGCACAAATAATTAAATTCTTCTTCTTCTTTTCCCCAGCCCTTTTTCCCATAATTTGGGGTCGGTTCTCCTTGTTCTGACAAATAAATAAATTCTATTAATAATAATTATACAGCTATCCAGTTCCAAACTATCTAACGGATATAAGCATAATTAAATGCCTACTTTTTAGTAAATATGTACTCGTACATACATACTGTGGATAGAAAACACTCAGACCATTGATACAAACCAATTATGTTCATGCACACAATAAATGTTTGTAGTGTGCGGGAATCGAACCCGCGACCTCTGGCATACAGAATCTACAACCACAGATTTACTATTAAGTTACTAAAATTTTTAACCGACTTCAAAAAAGGAGGAGGTTATATGTTCGACTGTATGTATTTTTTTTTTCTATGTATGTTCACCGATTACTCCGTCAATTGTGGACCGATTTTCAAAATTATTTTTATGTTCGATAGGGTACACTTCTGAGGTGGTCCCATTGTCACCAAGTTAGGATCTGATGATGGGATCCTAGGGAAATCGAGGGCAAACCTCAAATTTTATAGGCACGTATATCGTTTTTCAAACTTTTTCTTAAGTTATTCAAGTATTTGCTCCTGGAAATCATCATCTCATATTGATGAGCTGATGATAGAAGGTAAAACTTAATGCTTAGGAGTTGGAAGATAATTCTTTTAATTTTATAGATAAGTATAGTTTCTAAAGTTATTCAAGTGTTTACATCAGATATTCATCATCTCATCATGATGAACTGGTCATGGTAGGTACAACTCCTTAATGCTTAGGAGTTGGAGGTAAATTATTTAAATATTATAGGTTGCAGGCAAACTTTACATGTTTCATAATCTTGGCACCGACTCCAGAAGTATCAATCATGGTATACCTACATAAATATTAATTCGTCCTAATAAATAAGTAGGTAATTATTAATTATTTTTGTACTTTTTAGTGTAGGTTTTTTGGAGTCGGTTATAATTTTATTTAACCTGTCACGGCGCCGAGTGTTTTTAATTCGCCACTGTCACTAGCGGCCTTCGCGTCTTACTTTTTAAAAACAATGACTTTCACTCTCTGGAAAGCAGTGTTTTCTCAATATTTAGCCGGCTGACTAGTCAAATAAGGCGGGCCGTGTGAAAAATGCAAATTTCACCGCCATTTGAAGGTCAAAATATTTTTTTATCTACGCGTTAAAATGTTAGGCTAGGTCAGAAATAAATTCAACTTCTAGTTAAATAAACAATTATTTCATAACTAAAATTATATGTTCAATTTACGAGTTTTAAAAACTAAGGTTTTTAATTGAAATTATTTGAAAAATATTTTAAAAAAATTAAACAGTCACCTGCGTGGATTTAAACTATCTTTTACATCTAGACAATAGCATAATAATATTATGTGATAATAGCCTATTCTGATAATTCTGATTCTGATGTATGTAAACTACGAGTAGGCTGTAAAGTATCATCCAAATTAATCTGTAGTTTTTGCATAAAAGAGTAACAAACACCATCCATCTACACGAACTTTCACATTTTATAAATTAATAGGTTTGCAATCCATCCTAATCCAAATCTGTCCTCCAAGTCTGATTTCAATCTGTTTTCGATCAAATATCCACAATACGAAAATGCAAAAACATCGAAAACCGGCCTTTGTTAGATACCTCATCCACCCGTACTACATTAAAAGCAGTCGTATTAATGACTCAGCGGCAGTTCGGTAGGTGGCGCTGGACGGCTTTAGATCGCGCTAACATTTGATTTTTTCCAATTCTGTATCTGTATTGTTCACAACTATGTTACTTGTACATTTTTATTCTCTTTTTTGAATTTTTGACAGCAGCGTATTCGGTATATCACTTTTTGATATACTTGCAATGCGTTGCCTTAAACTTAAACAAACACTGAGGCTAGTATTGAATTATTTATTTACTAGCTTTCCGCCCGCAGCTTCGCCCGCGTGGAATTTTGTCTGTCACAGAAAAACTTTATCGCGCGCGTCCCTGTTTCGAAAACCGGGATAAAAACTATCCTATGTCCTTTCCCGGGACTCAAACTATCTCCCTGCCAAATTTCAGCAAAATCGGTTCTGTGAAAGCGAGACAGACAGACAGACAGAGTTACTTTCGCATTTATAATAGTATAGATATAGATATAGATTTTATGCGGGAAGAGACGTTCGTGACGTATAGTGTAAACACGCACTTCGGTTAGCTTCGCCATGCGGCGTCGACCATACTTTGCGAATCTTCGGTGTGTGTCATATGGATAAGAATAATAATACCATAAGAATAATGGAAAATGTTACTACCTTAAATCTAAACCAATACAAAAAATATAAATAAGTTTCGTAGTACGCCTGTAGATAGGATCTACTGACGCAGTCAGAATATGCACTCCGCAAAATGAGC